CGTCTGTGTCCAGGCGATGCAAAAAGACTCGAGCATTCCATTGCAGGTGAGAGCTCAGTTGTATGAAAAGTTCCACCTGAACTGAGGAAAATGGGACTTTTACAAATTTTTATCAAAACCATCGATGATAGAACATTTTCGATCTGCATCCATCCATCCATCTGTCAGATACACTACATGATCTGAGGCGTCGCGTAGAACGAACAGAGGGGATGCCAACCGCAGAACAGCGCCTTCTCTTTGCACGAAAGCACTTGGTAGGCCATGAAAACATGGCCTACTACGATATACAAGAGGGATGCATAATGCATGTTGTCGGCATTGGTCTTTAGCCGCAAGACAAGAAAACCTTGGCTGACTTTGAGATACAAGAAGGATGCACGCTGAACTTGGTTCTACGGCCGATGTTGAACATTCAATGCAGGGTCTTTGGAAATTTTCAAGTAGAGGACAAGTTAAAGGACAACATCAACTGTGCGAAACGGATCCCAGTGCAGAAGCAGACATTGTCCATTGACGGTCGAGTTCTTGAAGGCGACTACAAGCTGACGGATAACGGTATCAATAAACATTCCACAATAATCCTCAGTCTCCAGTTGGGATTTTCAAGGGAGATGCTGCTGAATATAACTCTGCCGTCTGCAGGCGAGGTTAGGCCATCGGCCAAGGAGGACGACACTGTAGATGACTTAAAGAAACAAGCCCGTCGCATGTGTGGGCTGTTTGAGGAGAGTTACCGGGTAGTCTTCAACGGCAAGCTCTTGGAAGGCTATCAAACCCTGGCGTACGGTGCAGTGGCGTATAACCCCAATCTCACTGCCATGCAGTATATGTCAAGGGCTCGAGCAAATTAGGTGCTAACTGTTTTCATTTTTATCAAAACCCTCGATGATAAAATAACTCCGGTCGACATCAATCCGTCAGCTACAGTATGTGATTTGAAACGTTGCATGGAATCGGCTTCAGCCTTCGTTTCAAACATTCGCGTGCAGGTCCACTGATGACGCCAGAGCTTTGCAAACGCACTGTGATGCGTTCTATTAGGACAGGTCGTCTGTTACTGCACCCAGAGTAGGATGAGGTAAGGAGAAAGACAGTGCACAGTTCATTCGCCTGAAATATTTCCCTGACTCTATACATTCAAAGCACTCGCCTCGGCACCTTCACTCCGGAGGTTCCAGACATTGCAGATATCTTGGCCATCAAGGGAAAAACTGAGCGCGCGAACTGGGAATTCTGTTGAAGAGACAGTGCCCGATATTTGATGGGCTTATTGATAGGTGTTAAGGCTAAGAGGATCAACTTAGCAGCTACGATCTCCGAGGCCCATGGTTCTTTTGTGTGAGGCGAGAAGACGGTGGGAAATCCAGATTGGTAGGAATAGTTTATTCTGCAGAAGAATAGGAAAAAGTGTGGACTCTCGGATGACCGCAGCCCGGCTGCCAGGCTGTCAATTCCGGAGTGACGAAGGGATCAGGCAT